CATGTTTTACCATATTATACCGTCTTGATTTACATATTTTTCTGAAAAATATCCATCGTCCTGTTTAAATTTCAATTTATTTTGTACTGAAATATAAACACGACAATGTTTTTAGATAAAAACAGGACATGGACAATGTCCAGAAACATAATATTTTTACCAACGTCACAGACTTTTAGATCTCGTCTTGATATAATTACTAAAACTCTGAAATTTATTTAATTTCGTCAACAGCTGAAGGAATTCAAAGAATAATGCAAAGAAAAAGAAAGCAAAAAAAGACCGACTTACCCTTCATAAACGCAAATACTAACACACAGAGATACTGGGTTTTCGGACTTTATCCATCGTCCTGGTTTTAAGATAACTAAGAGAAACACGACGTTTCGGAAATTGGATCTGTTTCCGTCCTCAGGTGAGGAAAAACACCTATTCTGTTGGGTCCCTGGACCAGTGGTTGGGGCTAGCTCTTTCTAAGGGACCCAACAGGATAGGTGTTTTCCCTCACCTGAGGACGGAAACAGATTCAGTTTCCGAAACGTCGTGTTTTTCTTAGTTATCTTAAAACCAGGATGATGGATAAAGTCCGAAAACCCAGTATCTCTGTGTGTTATACACCATCGTCAGAATCCTATAGTAACTACTTGCAAATAATAATGTTAAAGTGGATAATGTATCAGGCTTTAAATTGCATTAATTCACAATTCATGACCTTCTTGGGACCGGCCAAGAAAACTACATCGTAACATTTTGGCAAATGGAGGTCAGAAACATTTTCGCGTGTCTACGGCGTATGCTCTATGCCATAGTTACCATACAGAACACAGGATCCACATTCAGGCAAGGAGCTGACAACGGTTAAATAAGAGGTGTGCCACGTAAACCCACAGATTTAAAAAGAGGCCTCTAAAATTAACTCAACTGACCCAAAGCGTAACAGTTAATTTGATAAGAAAAAGGATCAATCTGAAGAGAATATCTCGATACGTAGATCTTATAAATAAAATGCCATGTACAAGAACAATTTAGCACCAATTTATAAGACTGGAAAGCAAGAAAGTCGAGCAACGCTGCGGTTGGCAAGAACAACACCGTACGCGAAACTGGGAGGGTTAGGGGAACCTCGGCCGCTCTCAGCGCTAACCACAAACTAACTTAGTTGCCTTTTCCTTCACTAAACACAAAAAATGGGTATCCCATTAAAATTGCTGGAAGCTAGAAAACTGGTTTGGTTACAATTACAACCCTGATCTCAGCAAATGCGGGTCTCTTGGTGTTGAAGCGACCGCCCTTTCTAGTGAATACACAAATTTAAAACCGCGGATATATGAAACCAAATGTCGCGGTTAGCAAAGGTAACCGCGGGAACTGGAAACTCGAGGTTGGCGAGTGAGCGCTACTAGGAAGTAAAAAAGAACAGTAAGTTCCGAGGAGAATACACAAAGCCTACTTCACAATTCATCCATTTCTATTACTACAGCTCATAATCATCATTTCGAAGCACATATGTGTATTATTTAGGTATAAACAATGGTCCCGTTAAATTTGCCGCATACAAAATCAAATTTCTGCACCACCACCATGTTGGTAATTGTTGACTTACAAATAACAGCTCATACATAATGTGCAGGTACATTTATGAGCCACCTCCGTACCAACTTTCACGTGCCCATTTCCAATAGTTCAGTATCGCCATTAACTCGAAAGCCAAGCAAAATGCTCGCATAGCCATGCTGTCATGCGACGGTCTACAGACTATATACAAGTATATGCCGGTCACAGTAGCCTCGCGGTCTAAGGCATGTACTGCCTTCTCTCGCTCGGACGCTGGGATCGTGGTTTCGAAACCCACTCAAGGCATGGATGGTTGGTATGTGTATGCGTTTATTCTGTGTTTGTGTTGCCCTGTGTTTAGGTAGAGGCCTTGCGACGGGGTTATCGCTCCCCCAAGAAGTCCTACTGTCTGTGAAAAGGATTACGNGGGGGGGGGAGAGGCCAGGGCCATGAATGGGCTGGAAGAGTCACTCAAATACACACACACATATATATATATATAATTTTTCTACGACCTATTAACATACAATATTTCAAGAACTTAAATTACGTATCGTTCCCATCTCACACGTTCGCGTTTGCGCCATATTCATATTGGTGATTGTAGGAAGTTAAAAAAGTGCGAATTTGGGCGGCTTGAAATGGCATAAAATTCATAACAGATTTCGTGAAAAACATCAACTGAATAAAAAGTTGAAAGGAGCACACAGAGACACACATACACAAACTGACGAAGTGATAAGCCTACTTCCGTTTCCTTAAGAAACGGAAGTAATGTAAACATAGGTCTATTATGATGGAAAAATCGTCGAAATCTAAAGAACATAGGCCTACACCTGTTAGCAAAACGTACGTTCCCTCAATAATGATAATACCGGTAAGCAAATCCGACTGGCACGGCACAATACGGCGAACAGCCACCAACTTTCATTCTATAACATTTCACATTATAATATGTGGAACTTGACATGGGTTTATTAGCGTACTGACCTTCATTCAATCCCTACTGACCTCTTTATAAAGGGAAATGTACTTCACCAACTTCAAAGCCAAGAGAGCTCGGACTACGTTTCCGAGTATAATGGAGTGTTTCCAACACGTGCACAGGAAATCACGCATATACTAGACTTCAAAAGTCGCGCCCATGATTCCAACTTCACGAAGCCGTAACTTTCTCGATGAGGATTACAAGGCTCCGGAAAAGGAACTTTGTTCCACTAAAACTCTTCAAGAGGAATAATTAAGAAGAATGGCACATAACTCATCATTCGTTCTGTGTTGAATCTTTAATGAACCAAGAACGAACTAAGTAAAAATGGTCGCTTAGAACAAGCTAGAATTCTTCATTATGCTAGAGCTGTTACGGTAGGAGTGCCGCGACAGTTTCTCTTTTTCATGATTAGGACTTCTTTGTCTCTTGTCTAAGTCTTACGTTTCCTTGAGAACATTTCCTTCGATAAAAAATCACAGTGTTACATACATCATAACATACTCACTCATGGAGCTGAGCCCTTCTTGAGAAGCCGCCAATCGTACAACTACTCAAGAACTTCCCAGCATTTCATAGAACCCAAAGGCTCATTGCCGTGTTCACAAGAGCCCTCCACTGGTCCCTATTTTCAGTCAGACCAATCCAATCCATACCATTCCATCCTACCTCTCTAAGATCCATTTTAATATTGTCCACCCACTTACGCCTTGGTCTTCACAGTGGTCTCTTTCCTTGTGGCTTTCCCACCAATATCCTATATGCATCCCTTTTCTCCCCCATTCGTGCTACATGCAATGCCAATCTCATACTCCTTGACTTGATCGTTCTAATTATACTTGGAGAAAAGTACAAGTAATGAAGCTCCTCATTATGCAGTTTTCTCCAATCTCCCGTCACTTTATCTCTCTTCGGTCCAAATATTCTCCTCAACATCCTGTTCTCAAACACCCTCAGTCTATGAAGAAAGTCGTCTTCTTACCGTCAGTCTATGTTCCTCTCTTAATATCAGAGACCAAGTTTCACACCCATACAGAACTACAGGCAAAATTATAGTTTGGTGTATTCTAATTTTTATGATTTTAGACAGCAGACGAGAAGACAAAAGATTCTGGACTGAATGGTAGCAAGCATTACGAGTTCAATCTCCTCTTAATTTCCTCCTGAATCAGTTTTTCATTTGTTATAGTCGTTTCCAAATAAGCATAACACATTCTAGTGACAAAAAGCTCAACCTCTTCTAATGTACTCAAGTCCGCCGAATGCAACTTGGAAATCATGGAGAAAGCAGAGCATATTCGGACGACTGGCTCTGATTTACAACAGACGTTTAAGCACGAAAATCGATGTCTAGGTAAATCCGCAATTTGTACTTCAGTCCCGGGTCGTTATAGTAATTATTTCTATGCGAATAAGAGTTATCTACGAGCTGTGCTTTGCGACTGTTCTCAGCCATTCATCAAGGCAGGCAATGAAAAGCAAAGACAGTGCAGACATACATGTAACGAAATATTACAATTTTTCCCAACCCAGTTCACAATGCACAATAATGAACAATCTATTAATCCTGTCACTCAGAAAACGTAATATCTTCCCATCACATACACTACTTTACTAATTTAACTGCTTTTTAATTAGTCTAAAATAATGTACACGCTGTCTCGATGTATTAAAACAGCGAATGGAAGACAATAAAATTACAAATCTGCACTAATCATCTGTTACTTTGTCAATGGCTCATTGCGGATAATGTGTAGAAATGTGTGCGTTTAGTACCACGCAACTTAAAAAGGTAAAGTTGTCCCTGTGCTTACCTAATTAAGCACTAAGCCATGGAAAAGTATAGGGGTGTGGATGTATAGATCGACGTATTCTTGACTAGTTTGGAGAGGTTAGTTCCAAGCTCCGGCTGCTTTACCCTTGAGGAAAGAACCCCGTTATCCCCCGGCTACGAGACTAGGTGGACCCCAGAATCGGTGTGGACGACGTGGAAAGGAGAATAATCTTGCCCTTACCGGGACTCAAACTCCGAGCACTCGGGCGTACAGCCCGTAGCCAGTCGCTACACCGGCCCCAGACGACGCAACTTAATTAAAAAAAATTACAGAAATAGATTAAGCGACTTACAATTGACGCGAAAATTAACAAGAAAATACTCATTTTAAATAAAAACATTCTAGCAAAACCGAGGCATTATAACAACATTTGTAAAAAAATTCTTTATATTTTATTTTTGCATGGAGAAAGCTCTTTCCATTCCCCAAGCTGAAGGGCTGTCCCTTTTTCGTGTTCCGTGGCTACTTATTCAATATGCAGACATCATATGTACAGCAGAACTTCACCTCCTTCACATGACGTAGCTGACACCTGCCAACGTCTTGAAAAGCTCATCACTGCATTGCAGCATGATTACTTCTCCAGATCACATTCATCGTCACAAAGTACACTCTCTCCGGCCTCTCCGGCTGCACCACCGGAAGTAGCGGCAGTTATGTGCACAGGTAGCGAATCATCGTTGGTCGCTGGTTACTTAACGGCACTGCATCAACTGCAGAGATTACATGGAATGAGACGAGGAAGATAATTCACATTGAATTGGCAAGATCCGGAGGGGAAACGGCCCTGGCCTACTTGAAAAATACTTGACCTATTTCGAGATTCACCTAACGGACTGAGATACACTTCGAAGAAAGAAGGTTAGTAGGATTACAGTAATACATAATTAGACTCTATAGTAACAATCTTCCTACAATTGTAATAACTGGTTAGTTGTTCGGTTCATAGGTTATTTGACGACCTGTATCAATTACAGAGGTTATGTCGGCAGACAAGATAATAATTACGTGTGACCAAATGGAAAGATAGAGGGCCAGTTATCCCAATCATCGCGTGAAGAGCACTATCGGTGCACTGCGCTGGCATATCACAAAAAGTTACTACAATTTCATTTTAAGCCCTCCGGCAGGGACTTTAAGCCGTCTGTCCCGTGTCGTAGATTTACGGCACGTAAAAGAACCTCATGTCTCTAGGAGACCTCTGAGCTAAATTAGGCAACAATTTCCCGCCCAAGTAGTTTCCAATGCCTCTGGTACATGGGGGAAGTATTAAGGTACCGAGGGCTGACCTCGTTGGCTCAACGGGGCTGATAGCACGCACCAGTACCGGTAGGGTATGGAGACTGGTAGAAGATCAAAGGGGGACGTACAATAGATCAACAACTGGNCAAATTATGAAAGAGGAAAGAACTGAAATTTTGTTATATGAATTTTTAAAATGTATTTTGTCCTATTTTTTTTTACCGAATATTACTGTATCCCATGTAATTAGTATTTTACTTAGTTTTCCATTCTCTTCATCAGTTTTAGTAATTTTAAGGTAGGAAATGGGTTTTCAGGAACGGAACTGCAACTTCACTTACGGGAAATATGAATTCGACTTATGATGGCTCCCCAGAAACCATTTACGTCGCAAACGCGGGGATATTCTGTATATTGTATAGGCTATGTTGTATACACGCTCAGAATTATTGAGGTTCCGGACTTCGTCCATCATCCGGTATTCTAAAAACTAGAAAACACAAAGCTTCGGAGACCGTATCTATTTCCATCCTCAGATTATAACACCATCATCGGAACCCTTTAGAATCTATACAAAGTTGTCCCTGTGCTTGACTACACACTGTGCCATGAAGGCGTATGGGGGAGTGGATGTATAGAAATACATTTTTCTTGACCTTGGCAGTAGTTGATGAGTGGTCACCTTCACGCCCCGGCCGCTTTACCCCGGTACCCATTGGATATGAGGATGGGAGGGCCCCAGAGAGTCGGTCTGGACGACGTGGAGAAGAGAAAACTCCGACCGCTCGATCGTCCAGCTCGTAGCCAGCATATGTATATATACACTGTATATGTACGTACTCACATATGGGTATACTCGTATGCATCCCCCCGTCACACAAGCACACACAAGTTAGCCACTTGTGACAGAATTCAATTCCAAGCAAGCACCCATTTCGTTTAATGTAACTGTATTTCCATGCAACCGTCCAAATAACCAAAGCAGCCGAAGACAGCCTTTGACGTACCTTATTCTTCTTGTTGGCCCTGTTATTCCTCTGTTCCCTGCAGCGTCCTGTTTCGTGATGTTTTTCCTGCTGGGATTCACCGAAGGAGACTCTGACTTTCGCTTTATTAGCCCTATGAGTCACAGTAACACGACCGTCACCTTTGACCGTGTCCCACCAGTAACCGCTGTTACTTGACAGCAAATCTTTGTCCACAAAACCTGCATCGAAATCTTCCTGGGCGTCGTCCTCATCTTGTTCCGGCACAATGTACAGTCTGATGCGATACATTACGCGTCGCAGTGTTCACAAGGAACTCATGTTTCACGCTGTACTTCCTCCCACATCACGCAGTCTGAGGAAGCTACTACTGCACTTGCAGTTACAGCACCGAAAGGGAAACTGTATTTGCTCGGATTCCGTTCCCTTGGCCTTCACAACTAGGAACTACAACAATACACATCCGGACATTTACTTCCAATTTAACGAAAGTTTATCGGGGCCTATAAATAAACAGTACATATGAATCATGAATTCAAGGAACTAAGGGAATCTATGAGTAACATTATTTTATGGTTCTACAGTCCTTTTGTTGGACCTTGGACGGTTTTTCAGTTCTTTAATCCTATACACAGAAGCAGAACTCCTTGGACGGGGGATCAGCCCGTCGCAAAGCCTCTACCTACACACAGAACACAAATGCAGAATAAACGCACACACACATCCATGCCTGGACTGGGATTCGAACCCAGGATCATAGTGTTCGAAGGGCGAATATGGTTCATGCTTTAGACTGTGCGGTTACTGTGATCGGCTTCGGGGTAACAAAGGGACTCAGAAAATTACGTAATAAGGCACTTCATAACACGTATTCATCACCTAATATTATTCTAACTATGGTTCTACAGCCCTTGTTGACCTCGGCCGATTTTTTAGTTTATTGATCTATATACAGCCCGTAGGGCTCCTTGGGCGGGTGATCAGCTCGTCGCAAGGCCTCTACCTGTACACAAACACAGAAAAACGCACACACACAAACTAGACATCCATGCCCTGTGTGGGATTCGAACCCACGATCCCGGTTTCCAAGCGAGCGAAGACGGTACATGCCTTAGAACGCTCGGCTACCGTGACCGGCTTACTACAATTCCATAAAAAATAATACCGTTAAGTTCCCCTCACAGTTTCCCATCTCTTCCTCAAGAGGAGCCACTAATCGTGATGTGCCAAATGTCAGCAAATACCAACAAGTCACTTGCAGAATATTGGCTCTCTATAAATTCGAGGTTACAACAAGATTACAGTTAACGACCTGACGCGCAAATACCGACAGTACGTTGTTCTTTCCTACCGCAGCCATTTATTGCACTTTCTCCATACGACAGCCTTCGAGCCGAACAAAGTTGCTAGACGACCTTACAAATTATCCGGTAACACATGTTAAGAATAAACTATAAAGCATTCGACCGGGGAAAGAAAATTTCACTTTATATGGGTCTAGACTGAAACCCAGTGGCCCGAGAAACTGTTTCACTCTAAAAAAATGGCATATAATTATAATTTCTGCTTCATGAAGTAAATGAACATCTTGGCCGCGCCATAGCTCAAGCGGTTAGTCGCTGGCTTCCCACCGTGGCGGCCCGGGTTCGATCCCGGGGCTGATGAAGTGGGATTTGTGGTGGACAAAGTGGCGCTGGGGCGGGTTTTCTCATTCCACAAAATTCTCCATCATAATCACCCGGAGCAGGCTACAATAGGCCAATTAGTGGCCGCGGTGCCGAGTGGACCCAGCTGGACTCCACCCCCCACTAAACGAATTTAAATTTAAAAAACGAACATCTTCAATTAGAAATAAATTCTTCTTCTATCTTTCATATTAGGCCCTCTCGCCCGCTTCCCATCAGAATTAATCTGTAACTATGGACTGTATTGATAGTCGGCAAGACTCCTTGGACGTGTGGTCAGCCCCGTCGCGAAGCCACAGGACAACACAAATATGCCTGGAGTGGGATTCGAACCCACAGTGTTTAAGCGAGCGAAGACACTTCGTGCCTTATACCGTGCGGCCACTGTGACTGGTTTAATTATGAAACCCTAAAACTTAAAATATAATTATACCTACTGCTTTACATTGATGTGAAACTTGGTATCCTTTCCTAGGGGATGAATATATATTTAGGGTGCTTGATAAAAGGACGATAAGAAGGGTATTTCTACCCAAGAAAGAAGTAACCGGTCACAGTTGCCGCAAGAAATGTCTTCGCCACTCAAGCAGTGGGATCGTGGGTTCGAGCCCCACTCGGGGCATGAATATCTGTATGTGCTTACTGTGCTGTGTAAGTAACGACCTTGCAACAAGAACTGATCACCCGTCCAAGGAACCCTGCCGACTGTCTATAATATTCACAGTTTCAGAATTAAATTCTGAATTACGTAATTTAAATCCACTTTATATAGTGCAGACTTTACCTCGTGATACAGAGAAAGCCCCTGCAAACAGCGCGCGCTCTTTTTCTGCAAATCATTGTTTGGAAATTTCAAGAAATCAGTAACGCCACTACACTCTTGTCCCCGTCAACAAAGAATCTCTTACTGCTATAGCCACCGATTTCCGCGTGCATACATATAAAAACCGTCGGCAATAACATTTCTGGTTTTTGACAGAGGGTGAAATTTCATATTGCGGTCTTGTAGGTTATGACATCGTGCTGGCTTATTCATGGGTAACAGCGTTTCAGGAGAAAATAATACCTCCACCTTCAGGGTAGAAGGCAGTATGCTCCTCAGAAACACCAGTTTACCATTAGCCTGCAGACCACGATATAGATATCCCATACAGCAAAACTGGACACGGCTATACATGAGAACACGCGGAAAAAGGATTACGGTAATGGTAACATTAAACTCTTTAGGCCTAACATACAAAACTATAATTTTTCCTGGTTCTGTATGAGTGCGAAACTTGGTCTCTGACATTACAGGAGGAACATAGACTGAGGGTGTTTGAGAACAGGGTGTCAAAAATGTTTGGACTGAAGAGAGATGAAGTGACAGGGGTTTGGAGAAAACTGCATAATGAGGAGTTTCATAACTCGTACTCTTCTCCAAGTACAATTACAATGATCAAGTCAAGGAGGATGAGGTGGGCAGGGCATGTAGCACGAATAGGGGAGACGAGGAATGAGCATAGGATATTGGTGGGAAAGCCACAAGGAAAGAGACCACTGGGAAGACCAAGGCGTAGGTGGGTGGACAATACTAAAATGGATCTTAGAGAGATAGGATGGGATGGTATGGACTGGATTCATTTGGCTCAGGATAAGGACTAGTGAAGGAGTCTTGTGAACACAGTAATGAACCTTCGGGTTCCATAAAATGCTGGGAATTTCTTGAGTAGCTGCAGAATTGGCGGCTCCTCCAGAACGGCTCAGCTCCATAACTAAGTAAGCAAGGCCTATTGGTCACGTTACAAGTCTGCACGGAGTCGGGATAGCTCAGTAGGTATAGCTACTGGCTACGGGCTGGACGGCTGGGGTTCGATTCCAGGAAGCGGCAAGAGATTTTTCTCTTCTCCACAGCGCTCGGATGGGTTCTGAGGCCCTCTCAGCCTCCTATCCTACCGCGGGCTCTTTC